GGTCAAGGTTTGCAAGAGTACACCTTGGTGGAAATGAAGACAAACTGAGTCAATGATAGAGTGAAGAATACTCTCGCAACTATTCTCCTTCCAGATCGAGAAAAACATACATACATACATACATAAATACACATACATACATAATACATAAAATTTGTATCAAACATTTATCATCATATATATTAAAGACATTTTTCTCCTCACTTGGGGACAAATTGGACAAAAAATCAAATAAATTTCATCTTGACATCCATCATAACATCCAATATAGTCAGTCAAAAATGCATCATTTTGATCTCTCAGGAAATCAAAGCTCGGAAATGACAGATGTCTAACTTGCAGAAACAATGATCTGGGCTTCCTGAAGTCAACAATCAAGACATTTCCTCAACGTGCATGAACAAACAGACTTTTTATCGCTTTTGAGGGTGTTTTTCTTGAAACAAATTTTTTGTCTCACTTGAGATATTTTTCCACAAATTTTGAGAATTTTTAAAGCAAATTTTGTCTAGCTTGAAACAGCTTCCTAAAAACAAATTTTGTCTCGTTTGAGACAAATTCTTTTAAAACAAACTTCGTCTCGCTTGAGACATTTTTCCTTGAGATACAAATTTTGAATTTGATTCACTTAAAACAGAATTAATCTCACCTTAGATTGTTGTTTCTTTCAAAACAAATTTCGTCTCGCTTGAGATAATTTCTCTTAAAAAATCTTTGAGTTGGTTCCTTTTAAATAAAAATCTTTGAGTTTGTTCCTTTTAAAAAAAAAATCTTTGAGATAGTTTCTTTTAAAACAAAAATCTTTGAGTATGTTTCTTTGAAACAAAATTTTATCTATTAAAGACAATTTCTCTTGAAAAAAATCTTTGAGTTTGTTTCTTTGGAAACAAAATTTTGTCTCTCTTGAGATAGTTTCTTTTAAAACAAAAATCTTTGAGTATGTTTCTTTTGAAACAAAATTTTATCTATTAAAGACAATTTCTTTTGAAAAAATCTTTGAGTTTGTTTCCTTTGAAACAAAATTTTGTCTCTCTTAAGATAGTTTCTTTTAAAACAAAAATCTTTGAGTATGTTTCTTTTGAAACAAAATTTTATCTATTAAAGACAATTTCTTTTGAAAAAAATCTTTGAGTTTGTTTCCTTTGAAACAAAATTTTGTCTCTCGAGACAACTTCTTTTGAAAATACCAACCTTTGAGATCGTTTAGACCATTTATTTTAAAACTACCCATCTTTGAGATTGTTTTTATTAAAACAAATGTTGACTCCCTTGAGGCAGTTTCTCTAGAAATACAAAATCTTTGAGTTTGTTTCAATTGAAATAAAACCATCTTTGAGTCGTTTCCCTTAAAACGAATTTTGTCTCTTTTGAGACAGTTGCTTTTAAAAAATATCATCTTTGAGTTTATTTGAAACAAATCTTTAATTTGGTTTCTCTAGAAACCATAACACCTTTAGATGGCCAGAACTCTTCATCACGTATGAGCCGTGTCATTCCCCGACCAGATCTCTTCATCACGTAGGAGCCGTGTCAACCATAGATAACCAGCCGTCCTCATCACGTAGGAACCGTGTTATCACCTTTCTCCTGACCAGATTTCCTCATCACGTAGGAACCATGTCACCCTTAGACGACCCGAACTCTTCATCACGTATGAGCAGTGGCGTCCCCAACAACCAACATTATCCAATTTATAGGAAAATGAAAGAGAACCAGACAAAAACATGTTGTATTGTCGTCTTTGCCCTATTCTTGTTAACACAAGAATGTGCAAAGAGGGGCAGCTGTAGACACCCGTTTTTGTCCGGGTCTTTTTTGTATATTATTATCGTTATTATTATTATTATTATTATTATTATTATTATTATTACATTTACAAATTTTTGCAGGCCTAATCCCTAAGCCCAACAGCATATCCAACAAGCTGGAACAGACCCGGTTCAGGCCCAATACCAATCCCAGGCCCACTTGACAATCCAGCTAGGGTTTCATCTCAATGGTCCAGCCGCCTCATTTCTGGCCGTGGATCTGGACCCATCCAACGGTCCAGATCACTCAGAGCTTAGGGTGAAACCCTAAAATATCATCCAATAGCCAACCGCCGCCGCCGTTTTTTCCTTCCATCTCAGCCGCGTCGAGCCACCGTGGAGCACTCCGAGACGCCGGTGCCATCAACAAAGGCCACACAGTAAAACAAATCAGTCAATTTGTCAATCCATCAACTAGAATCAAAACCCTAAATTAAAAAATACCTAAATCCCGATAAATCGGGATTTTTGTCCCTACCAAGATCAGAGACCCTTACCCCTACGCTAGCATCATCGTCATCTCACCAAACGAAGCAAAATCGACCATAAATCAAGCAGATATCAGAGAAAATGAGGGGTGGGTCATTCGGGTAAAAAAAAAAAAGAGAGAGAGCATTCGAAAAAAAAAAAGAAAATAACGTAGAGAGAAGAAAAAAAGTCTTACCCTTGTAGATCTATCCCTTATCAACCTCACCAGAGCTTAAAAACCCTGAATCGAAGGTAAAACGTTTTTTTCTTGAATCTAGGTTTGGATTAACAGGGGTTCTCGGTTTTTTTTTGGGGTGAAGGGTTGGGTTTTCAAAGGAAATGAGGAAGAAAGAGGATTGAGGGTCTTTAGGGTCGGTTTTGCTCCCCATGGCCACCGATACGGTGGCCGGGGAGCCTCTGTTTGGTTGTTGCGGCGAGGGAGAAAGGAGAGTAGAGAAAGGGAAAGGAAAGGAGGCTGAGAGAGGGGTGAAAATGATTTAGGGTTCGGTTAATAACCCTAAAATGGGATTATATCCCAGTTTCAAAAACGACGCCGTTTAGAGGTTTCCGTGTTTTCATATTAAGGGGTAAACTACTCTTTTGGTCCTGATGCTTTGTAACCGTATTATTTAGCCATTAAATGAAGTTTCATTTATTTGATTTCAGATTCTGATGTTTCCTTATTTATATTTTAGTCCTTTTATTATTTGTTAAGTTATTTTTGTTAATATTTGACATTGGTCACTATATTTGTGAATATATTATTTTAGCCCTTGGCTTGTGTATGGTTTAATTCCTATTTAGTCTTTTAGGTTTCAGTTTTCCTATTTGAGTCTCCTTTTTATTTCTTGTTATATTTCGTCCTAACATATGTGTTGATGTTTATGACAATTTTTATATCAAGCCTGGAATTTGTGAAATGTTTATTTCAGTCCTTAATTTTCTGTAATGTTAGTTTGGTTTTATGCCTATTCAGGTTTATTGATTTGTGATTAATTTTATTTTGATCATTGTATGTATATTAATGGAATTTATTAACATTTATGTTTTAGTCTTTAAACTGGGTGCCTTCTATTTTAGTCCATCTTTGTTCTTAGTTTTTATTTTCGATGAGGTTTATGATTTGATCATCTGTTTGCATCCTTTTCATTTCGGTCCTTTATGTTGGCTTGTGGGTACGATTGGGATTAATATTTGATTTAGGCTTAAATTTTCTTTTAGGTTCATTTTAGTCACTATCCTAGGTATTATAACATTTTTTGGTTTATATTGGTTCTGGTTTCAATATTTATAAATGTTACATCTTAGCCATGATTTAATATTTCATGTATGTTTCTTTGATATTCGAATCTGGCCATCCCATTTTTTAAAATACTTTATTTTAGTCCTATTAATGTATGTTATGTCATTTTGTGAATATTTGACTTTTGGACATTATGTTTGTAATAGTTTCATTCTAGTCCTAAGTTCTTGTGTTGTGATATTTTGTGGATGTTTGAATTCAGCCATCATATTTGCAAATGTTCTATTTTGGTCACTGTCTGACATTTTATTTAATTACTTTTTGATCCTCCATGTTTCTGTGAAATTTCAATTTAGTCATAAGCTTTACTTTGGGTTATTTTCACTTCTAGTATTTGACTGTTTAATGTTTGTGATATGGGCTCTAAATTATTTTATTTTTTATTTAGTCCTTTAAATTTCGGTTAGTGCTATTTTGGTCCATTAACTTTCTGTTTTTTGCTGTTTAGCCCCCTAAGTTTCTGTTTCTATTATTTTAGCCCCTTAAATGTTTTATATTTATTTTGGTTTGTAATATTTACTAATTTATTTTTAGACATTTATGTATGGATGTGTATTTTACTCATTAGTTAATTATTTGGATTATGTAAATAATGTTTTCAATTTCATTTAATGTAAATATTTTATTTGTATTTCCAATTACATTTATTTTTATATCTTTATCTATGTAAGAAATATTCGATTATATTTTCAAGAACACGTATGCGTAGAATGGGCGTGGAAAGTACCACTTGGTCGAAGTGGTACGATCCGATACGGCATTTTAACGACATAGGAACTTGCCACAAGTCGAGTATATTTTACTAATTAATTTATTTTAATAATGCAATGTGTGTTTTTTAATTCAGTATTTATTTCATTTTTATTTGAATGCAAACGTTAATTTCATTTATATTCGATTTGCATATTTATCAATGAGGGAATATTCTTTTATTAACTAGAAATAGTCGAGTTAGCTTTCCTGATGGAGGATTACTAATTTCGATATTTCTTTTCGAGTTAAAGAATTTTCTGTAATTAATTTATTCGAAGCAAATTGATTAAATTTCAAATAAAAGGATCACATCTTAATTTTATATTCGATTTGTAATTTCCACAATCACGACGATATGTAAGCGACACAGTACCAATTTTGGGCGTTGTAGGGGTGTTTTATCCTTCCCCACACGTAACCGACTCCCGAACCTGTTTTAAATGAATCTTTGGTAACGTAGATCAAATTTTTGTCTTATAAAACTATTTTTCTTAAAATTGTTTTTAAAAGACGTTTTTAGGTATTCGACCTACCTAACCCAAAGGTCGATGGCGACTCATTTTCAATTTAATTTTAATTAATCCAAAATCACTCAATTTTTTTTAATTAAAGTCGTAATCGTTTTTTATAAAAAATATTTAATTGTTTTACAAAAAAATGGTTATGACATCCGCAACTGTAGCTGTCTCTGCACCTGTTGTAGATCACAGGTATAGAAATTGCAGACTTGAGTAAACTAAATAAATACAACACTTAAAGCACCTTTTTACCGTTTTTGTAAGGAACAAATAGAAGAATACAGCATCTGAATGTTAGTGACATTCCTCAATACTATGCCACTCTTAATAACAAGGAGGATCCGTTGATAAATATATAACCAAATTAGTAGTAAATTTGCACCCAGAATACGTGCCTCCAATTGTTCATGCAATCGCTTTTGAACCTCCATCTGCAACTTTAGAGCTTCCGTAATTTGATTGCCACTGCAAATAGAGAAAAGAATCCCTCAACTCTCCAATTCTAGTCGATCAATCCATTTGAAAGGATCATGTTGAAACTAACAAGAACTATTAAAATCGAAAGGCTGCAGCTCCACTTACTTTAACCCGTCCATGTCGGGAAGCATATCTGCAGTTTCTTTGTTGTCTGGCTTTTTACCTTCGTTAACAAATACGATAAACAAACAGTATTAAGAAGTAAAATTTTGTATAGAACAACTTGGGTTTACAATGAACTTGAGGATGTTGAAGCAGTATAAAGAACAAATATTGATAGAAGAAATAGATAAACCTACCATCAGAAGAAGATTCAGGGAGATATTTTGCGAGTCGATATTTCTGGATGCATCATCATAGTGGAGTCAGCAAAAGTACAACAAAGGGGAATGTTATACGAACCAAATCGCACTCTGTCGGTACAACTCCGAACCAATGCACATGAATCAGTACAATTCTTAACTAGGTTGAAAAAGAATTACAAACCTGTAAATGGCTTTTGACATGGTATATTGTCAAACCCTGCACACCCATGACTCTAAGAACTCCTTTAGGTGTAGCTCCTGTGAGGGGGAGAAATCAAACTCGTTCACCGTCGTAATCAGTTACAAGCACATACTTAAGGCTAGGAATCAATTATTAGATAGTGCTATCTTTGACGAGACTTACGATCTGGTCCACCAAGTTGAGCAACAGCATCAACAAAACGTTCATGAAGTTCATGTGTCCAGCGCAATCGTTGCTTTGATGCAAGATTAGAGCTGTTGGAGTGCTTATTCCCTCCGCCTACAGCATCCATTGTGGTAGCACCACAATCTAAATGCTGACCATGAACCGATGAGTTGTTGTGGCCTAAACTTGAGCCCGGAGCAATCTTTAGTTGATACATTTGTCATTCATCTACAAACAATGGGAAGCAAAGAGGCTCCTGAGGATTCAAATTTCAAACAAGCGTGCAGCGATTCCACATTATCGAAAAAAAAACCAAACACATCATACATGACATTTCCACTGTATGAACAGAAATGAAAGATGAAAGGTAAGGAAAGAATAAATAGAAGGGTTAACATGCTTCTTTTTATTCTTGAGTCTTTCACTATTTAAGTGCTTTGCCTGGGAGTGCCCTAAAATCATAAAGGTTACTAAATAAATATAGCCAGCTATCTTCTTACAATTAGAGCAAGCTGTGCAAAGTCAGAGATTATGAAATACATAGGAACCCTAGTTTCATACACAAATTATAAATAATTCTCAATTTCCATTTTCTCATGAAGTTTCCTGCATCTCAAAGTGTATAGAATAAACAGTGTTTATATGCATAATACTATAACACAAAATGAAATGATAACAATATCCATAGCATGTCATAATCCCAATTAATAATGAGGATTAATTAGGGTTATCTGCATCTGCTTATATATAATTAAGGTAAAGTAAGAGCAATCGAAGAACAATTGGTGGAGCAGAGTGATAGCTGAGCTGATAAAATTGTAAAAAGATAAATAGAGCATACCATAACAGAAGAAGCAGATGATTTATTCTTAGTGTTTTCATAAAACAAAAGGAAAAGGAAAAAAAAGACTCCTTTTATGAATATTAGGACACCAAAATCAAAGAGAATGAAGAAAGAGCACAATGACAGTCAGACAGGAAGCAGAAAGCAGAGCCACAGCTACAGCCCACCACCACCACAGCCACGAGTTTTGGCTTTCGTTTTTTCTATTAATATAAATCATTGGTGAACTTTTGTTATCACTCCATGTATTATACGCATGTACCGTAGTCACTATATTTTAATTTAATTATATTTAATCTTTATATTTTCTATAATTTTAATTTTTAGTCTCAACTTAAAAATAGTTTTAATGCACCATTGTTCCCTAAACCATGTTTTTTATCAAGTTACCCCTAAAATATTTTTCTATACTTTTACCCTATGAAGTTTAAAATAATACTTCGTTTGTCTCAAACTGTTAACTCTGTTAAAAAAGAGTCACTCAACTATTTTAGCGGTCTGTTTAGTTACTCAATTATTTTTATTTTCAAAATTATCACTAAACTTAAGTTTTATTCTATTTTGGTCACATAATTTGGCTCAATTTATTTTAAAATTGTAATATGTAAGAGATCATTTATAAAGGTAAAATTATATATATAATTCATTTTACATGAAGTATCATAATATTAGAAAGTTATTTTATTTTATTTTGGTTTGCACCCTTCAAGTTGTTCATTGAAATTCTAAGGAGTATTTGGAAGTGGAATGCTTCAAACGAGGCTTTTTGAACTCATAAAGATTAAGTTTTGGTGAAGAAGAAGCGCAGTTTTCAACACCAAACTTAGAAGGGGGAATGTCATTTCTTCAAATGCTCAGAGTGTAGAATCCCCCAAGCATTTTACCTTTAGAGAACCACATTTTCAGACCCTTTTGAGGTGCAACACTTGAAGAAGCCTTGGGAGCTAAACAACTACCCTTTGGTTCAGGAAAGGGGGATCCAAATTCAAGCCTTGGAACTAGAAAGCTGTTTCACCCATGAAATACTACTCGACTTGCATTCACCAGTCAATTTTGAGACCAATGACCTTAAGACGAGGCCCCTTCGAGTTCATGTTTCGAAGTTCTCAGCACCGGGTCGAACCAGGACCAACCAAACTCAGTAACAACAAACAACTATGGTAGACACAAGGTAACAACTTGGGGTTTTTTTTGTGTGAAAAACTTCACAAAATCTCCTTCTGTCACTAGAGAATGACGAAGCTAAAACGAACGAAGGTAGCCAAGAACAAAGAAGAAGTCGAGAGCCAATGGACGACCCACATTGTCGTCGAGCGCGACCGTAGACGTCAAATGAAAGATTATATAAATTCCATCTGCTTTTTTATGCCTCCATATTATATCCAAAGAGCATATTATTCAGCCTTGAACTAAATTTTTGTCCCGTTGTTAATACTTGTTTAACGATAACCATGTTTTGGTTTTGTTTTACAGGGACCAAGCAACAATATTAGTGGTAATTTCATGCCAAAGTCCGTCATGGAATCTGAATATGAAAATCATGGAGATGAAATAAAAACAGAAAACAAATCAGGCGCAGATGAAGTTGAGGTTAATGTAATACACAATCATGTCAACTTAAAGATTTAATGCCTAATAAGAGCTGGTGAGTTGATGCAAGCCATTGTCACCTGGAAAGTCCTAGATAAGGGTTTTGCACCTCAACGTTACCACTTCCCAAATCCCAAGTATCTGTTCTTTACTTGTTCAATCTCAAGGTACTTTTCATTTCTAAAAGAACAATTTGTTTTGTTTTGGCTCAAATCGTAGTTCCGGATTTTCTCAACATTTGTCTTGTTTTCTTGCTAGCTTTGTTTCGTTATTTCTGGGGTGTGTTGGAAACGGCAATGACAGATGGAGGACGACTGAGCTAAGATCAGTGGATGAGATGATTTCACAATTCATCAAATATTCAGCTAATTCAAAGATACAATGTTAGGGATAAATTTTATTGTTAATATATAAAAAATGAATTTTATATATTAATTTACCATGAACTCTTATATATTACAAATTTTAAAAATAAATCAAATCAGATTAAGTGATCAAAACATAATAAATCTTAACTTTAGTAATGATTTTAAAAGAAAAAATAGTGGATGACGAAAACAAAATCATTAAAATAATTTAATGACTAAATATATATTTACCTTTATTTTTAACATAATTAAAAGTTTGAGGGAAACAATAAAACGATTTAAACTTTAGGGAATAAAATATTCTAAAAAATATTTTAGGGACAATTCGATAAGAGATGACATAATTTAGGGGTAGTGATGCATTTAAGCCTAAAATATATGATTAAATTATGTGAATTCAAAATAATTAAATTATTATAAAAACTATTAAATCTATAATGTTTGTATAATATAAATATATGTTTAAAATTTTATTAATTTATTGATTTAAAACATTTTAAATATTATGGGATGAATTCCTTTAACTTATCAATTTACGCATGAAATAAATTGAATAGAAAAAATCACCTTCATATTAAACATTTATAATATTTAATTTAAATTAATTAATTAATGAATCATATACAATCTCTCTATATGCAACTTGTTTAAATCATAGGCTGAGTAGCTTTTTTTTTTATCAATAATAAGTATTAATGAATAAAAAGGAGTTCTTCTTTCAGTGTCTACAAAAGGATTGATCTTATATGTTTTATTGGGCAAGAATTCATAATTTATTAACATAAATCTAATCTTGAGATTTAAGATGAGAAAAATATTTCCACAATAATAAAATATTTGAAATTATATTAATATTTAAAATTAAATGTAATTAATTTATTATTGTGTAATAAGTACAATATTTGTTATATTCGGACAAATAAATAAAAAAAAGGCTATATTTTGTTGGTTTTCTTTTTCTTCTTTCCATCGGTATATAAAATTTCGGGTTGGTAGATCTTAATTCTCCTCCCCCTCGACGCATATTGATTTAGGGTTTCAGGTTTCTGCTTTGAATCGCGATATAGACATGGCGGGTGCTGGAATCCACCTTACCACCAGCAGTGGCCGCCGGCACCAGCTCCTCCGCCCCCTACAGCCACATCAGCTGCCGCTCCTCTTCCTCCGCCTCCTGTCCACCATCCTCCACCTTCTACTCACGATGAGGTTAATTTTCTCACTTGATTTTCTCTACCTCCTTTATCTTTTTCAATTTTCAAGCTTCAATCGTAAGATTTGATGGCAATATAACCCTAATTCTATGTTCCTCACTTTCTATGAATTTTTTATGAAACTTCCAATACAATAGTTTCTTTGTCTCTGCTTAGTTTTTTAGATTCCCTTGTTTATCACTCTAATTCGTGGTTTTCCTTTTGTACTTGCTTTTTCCTTTCTCAAAAATTAAAATTGTATTATAATTTGAAATGGAATTCTTTGACTAGCAACACATATCATTCCATGATTTTTGTTATTTAGGAATCAGTTCTATTTGGACGTGCATTACAACAGTTTAATTATTTGGTCTTGTTTTGGTGATTTTTTTCTAACCTGTTTTAGCTGGTGGAATAAGCAGAAAATAAGATCATAAGATTTGTTCTGTGTATATGGTTATTAGATAGTTATAGTTTTACATGCCTCTGTGAGAGTTACTTGAAACAAGGTTCAATTTGATTCGCTGATCAATAACTGAAACATAATACATATTTATCAAAAATATGTTAAGGTAAAAGTGGTGTTCTTTTATTCATTAGAAGGAATGAAATTCAGTCCTTTGAAGTATTGTAGGTTGCAATTATTTTTCTTTTTCATATAATCATTATTGTGTATTTAAAATAAACTTTAATCTTTAGAGAAATTATCAATTACATTTTAAATAGACTTTTTTAATCTTAGAGAAATTATCAATTACTTTTTAAATAGACTTTTTAATCTTTAGAGAAATTATCAATTACTTTTTAAATTGATTTTTAGTACAGTAATCATCCATATAATATCTTAGAAATTATAATCATTTGGTTAAATCCCTTGATTTTACAAACATATCAATTCATTGCCACTTTTTATATCTATCAATCCAGTTCTGAATTTGAATGGTTTTGACCAATCAGATATTGGAAATGCATGTTTGTGGTGCATGCATTTATCCTGCATGTACAAGTATGTTTTATTTACTTTTATATTCTAAAAATAATAGGAATACTTATTCTGGATCCAGGTTCGAACCTTCTTCATTACTGGTCTTCCTGAAGACGTCAAAGAGAGAGAGTTACAAAATTTACTAAGATGGCTTCCGGGTTTGAAGCTTCGCAAGTGAACTACAAGGGTGAAAAACCAATGGGTTTTGCTCTCTTTTCAACTGCACAACTTGCAGTTGCTGCCAAAGATGCTCTTCAGGTATTATAAATTTATATTTGATGGCTTTATTTAGTGATCTAACATACGTCCTCCTTTTCAAAGCACTGGTTTTGTTTAATTATGGTGTGTACTAGGACATGAATTTTGATGCCGAGTCAAAGTCGGTATTGCACACAGAGATGGCCAAGAAGAATCTATTTGTTAAAGAGGTTAGTCATCTCTGTAACACTTTGTTTCATGCCAATTGAAAAAGACTTACGTATTTACCAAGAGACATAAGGGATAAATTGTTTAATCTGGAGATAGAGTAATGCAAAATACATAATTTTGTTCCAAATGTTTTAAAGTTGTTCTTATTTGCTTCTACCTAGAGAAGGATACCGGCCTTTGGTTATCTGCCACTTTATTGTTAGGATTTTGGAATGTGTTGTTTGGGTGGTGTTGAGCAGTGTATAAGTGAGTGGATAAGAGAGAGGCATGGTGATCTGATGAAATTAAAAGCAAATTGTGGCGATAATAAAGATCGTTCTTTTATTTGTGATATTTATTCTGTAGGAATTGTAGCAGATTCTAATTCATATGATCAAAGTAAGCGTTTGCGCACTGGTGGCGATTATTCACACAGTGCTTATACAACACCGTCTCCATTTCACCCTCCTGCCCCTGTCTGGGGACCTCATGGGTAAGAAGCTATGTTGGGATATTGGATACTGCTATGCTACAGTTTGCTTAGTCGTGAATAAGTTAAGCCATAGTTTCAGCATTGCTCGTTAAGTTGAAGGATTTTTTTTTTTCATAGGTATTTAGCTCCAACTCCTCCATATGATCCGTATGGAGGCTATCCTGTTCCTCCAGTTCCAATGCCTACCTCTGCTCCTTCACCAGCTCCTAGCATTATGTGCCTGTTCAGGTAATTTCTATTCTCTGCATGCCTTTTTTTCCCTTTAGCTTAGATTTTGTATAATTTTTTTATTGGACATCGATTACTTTCTAAATTTTGGCCACTTTTGGCTAATTATTTAATAACGATTGACTTTGACGCGACAAAGCGTGTTGTCAGCTTATTCTATACCTTGATTTACTATGAACATCCACTGAAAAGTTGGCTTGTTGGACACTGGATATGACCCTTGTGCCCAATGATTTTGGATAATGTCAGTGAATATATCTTAATTTGATAAAGACCTTGCTATTCATTGAGTTTTTCTCATTCCTTCTGAGAATTCTTAGTATGCAACCTCCATTATGTCGCTTTTATGGCAATTAAATCGGAACTATTTTTGGTTGTCAGAATACCAAGATAACCCTCCATGCAATACTTTATTTATTGGCAATCTTGGAGAGAACATTAATGAGGAAGAACTACAGGGCCTATTTAGCGCGTAAGAACTATCCCTGGCTAGTTTTATGAACCATTTTATTTCTGATGTGAATTTGGGGTTGGTTTCTAATGACAACCTGGTTTATGTTGTACTTATGCTTTATGCAGTCAACCTGGTTTTAAGCAAATGAAGATCTTGAGACAAGAAAGGCATACCGTTTGCTTTAGAGTTTGAAGTAAGTTTCTTCTCTTAACCTAGTTGGATGCAATCAGTTATTCATGGAATGCAATTTCTTGGGTTTTATCCTTAAGATTAGAGTTTGTTTCCCCAACTTGCAGGATGTGAATTCTGCAAGCAATGTGCACCACAGTTTACAGGGTGCTGTGATCCCTAGTTCTGGTTCTGTTGGCATGCGAATACAGTATCCTTTTTGCATTTCATTGTGGTTTTACTGTTTTAATTTTTTTTTTCATTTTTTCATTTTCCTTTGTTTCTTTCTTGGCACCTCAACTGTTGCATATATATGTGTGTGTGTGTGTGTGTGTGTGCGCGCGCGCTCCTTTCATGTGCGGTTCATGGGCATGTGGCTTTATTCTTGTATGTTACAGTCCAGATAGGTTATCCACATAAAAATTACTCCTTTCACCGCTTCTGTCATCTCAGTGTGTCTTAGAAGGTGATATTCCTACAAACATCCCCCCCCTGAAGATCTGTTTTTAATGTCAAATTTTGATTCCAAGAACTTCAATCTCTAAAAAGAGTGTGGCTGGGGAGAGAATTCTTTATTTCTTTATGGTATATGCATAAGTGTGTGTGTGTGTGTATATATCAAAATGCCCGTGAAGGCTACATGATTTTATAATGTTGAATGCCAAATGATGAAAGTAGAAAATCAAGGGGTGCCATTTAAGCTATATATGAACTTAAGGAAATCATTTTTAGCTTTACATGTCTCGTCCGTAACTTTTCTATATAAATGCTTCTGTGAAACATGGTTTTCTTGACTTGATAATAGATATTCCAAGAATCCCTTTGGCAGAAGGAAGGACTCCAATCATTCAGTTGCTTCCCCTAGTGCAAATGGGACTCCGCCAGCTCTGACTTACCAGTAGATGAGGGATAATCTCTGTTTTCTATGCTCCAACAAATACAACTGCTACATGCTAGGATGCATCTTGTAGCTATGCATGCACCCATTTCATTGTCAACATCAGCATTATCATCTCTTGTCATGTGTTTGAATGCGCATAGTGATATCATGAATGCACCATTTGCTCATGTTCTATCAATTTACCTGAGACATGCATGCGTCTGCAGCATTTGTTATGCTGGGTTAACTTTATAGGGTTTCAGATAACGTTAATATTATGTTGAAGTAGCACATTATCCACGGGTTTGTTGATTTGTGTGCTGTACCACCTCATATTGACCATGCCATGATACTGGATTACTGATGCCCAATATCACGCAGCATACATACAGAATTGATCCATATACATTCATGACTAACATGACATTCAAAGATGCGCAGTTTCAATTCATGGCACTATTTTGACTTTAAAAAAAAGGTGAAAACCCATACCATCTTTCATTCTATACATCGATTTATTAGAACCATTGCTATGCCATAGGCACCATTAGGGGTATTCAAAGCATAATTTTATACATATGCTACTACAGTGTAAAGACACGGCATCAATAACATCACATTTTAAGAAATCCAGATTTTCATACCATGATCTGAAAAAAATGCGGGGAAGCATAACCATTGCTCATCTATTATGAGGAAATCTTATAACCCTTTGCCATAGCCTCTGACACTGTTTATCCTATTGAAGTGAAAGGGTGATGACCATGTTTTAAACTTTTAGGGCTTAGAAGTGTAAGCGCTATGCTATCTATCTATCTATCTATATAGATATATATATTATGCACGTATATGTATGTATGTGCGGGTATATATATGCAGGATAAGTTACTCTGGTGGTAAACAGGAATGCTTCAGTTGATGTTTGTGTTTCAGGTAACCTTTTAGTGTTAGTCGGTCAAAAGCGAAAACATGCCAGCGTGGATGTTTAGCTGACAGCTCTTAGGTACTGATTGCTTTATTTATTATTTTTGGCCGAAAAGGAATAAATGCCTGTTGTGAAATCTCCAACTACCTCCTTTTTTGGCTCTCTATTTCAGGTTTCTCTTTTGTACTTTGTTTTTTATGCAGAAGTGTAACTTAGTGCAGTGTGTTAAGAAATGAAAAATAGTATGGTTAATTTTAAGGCAGAGTTAATTTTCATAGCAAAATAGTGTAGGCTTTTTCACTGACTATTTTGTGTGGGGGTCATCTTTGCAACGTTATAGCATATGATTAAGCATTGCATGTATCTATCCCATTTAATACGATTTGGTAATTGATTCAACAATTTACTTCTTCCTTGAGGAAGAGGGCCAATGCAACACATCACTTGATTACCAACTATGTATGTGGCCAATGCGACTTTTTGGTTTCACTTTGACTTATCAATTTTGAATTGAACCCAGCCCTAGAAATGATCTAAAACCTCTACTCGAATTCACTTGGACAATTAATTTGTAATGACTCGAATTCCTAAAGTTTGAAAATATGAGCCCTCTTTTTTTTCCAGCAAATTTGATTTATTCATTAAAAATGAATCTTAAATTCCTGACTGACTCATAAAAAATTCCTAAACCTACTCGGAGCAAACGAATACTACTGATCGGGGAGATGCAATTAAACAAGAACATCAGAACATAACAGCCACAACTTAACAGACGACAAAACCAGCTAATTTTTACCCCTTTAAGCTTCCAAGAAGAGCAGCCTTAAGGTAACCATTACCACCAAGCTTTGAATAAATCTTGTCTTTTTGCAAGATAATCCGTCATTTTATTTCTTTCCCTAGGAGCATAAACAAACTGGACCTTTTCTAAAGAGCATACCATTCGATCAATCTTCTCAAAAATCCCCCCCCCCCAAGGTCGTAGGAGGGTTGAAGCAACACAATGCAAACTAATTGAGAATCAGATTCGATTACCACTTGGCTTTTCCAGTCTAATTAGTCTTCCTAGAAGTCTCGATTGCTATTAGTTCTGTTCTGCATAATCAGAACCTAAACACAGAACAGACCCGGAAGACGATGCTATCACACTCCCTGAGTCCGTTCTCAACACTCCTCCACATCCAACAGCCTCCTTTGTAGCAGCCCCATCCACATTAAACTTCACTAGCAGCCCCATCCACATTAAACTTCACTTGCCTCGTATTCGGAGGAAGCCAATCTACAGTGAGTCTATTTCCTTTATCACATGCAGCTGCACAGTCATTGGTTTATCCCACCACGAATTCTCATTTAATAAACTAAATTATGTTAAGCCTTACACCATAATAAAGCTCGCATTTTCGAATAGAAAACTAGATCATTGAAGTTTGTATTTTTTTTTCTCGAAAGACTTTTTCATTTCTTGCTAACCATAGACTCCATATTACGATGGCGATGCAAACGGACCAAATTGTTCTTTTTTTCACCCCAACCACAGTGCTTGGAAGTAGAATTCAAAGAGTTCATCGACATTGTGAGAGTTCAACCAAGACACTCTCCACCACCTACAAAACAGTTCTCTAAAGGACACTACAAATCTACAATGACAAAAATATGATCTGAGCGTTCAAAATCAACCCCACACCACACACTTTAGCATTGAGTTTCCAACAAACTTATCCTACGGGTCCTTAGAAAGTCTCTGGTAGGCTCCCTGTTCAATTTCAGCATCCATAGAAAGCTTTTAACCTTTGGAGATACCTTAAGATTCCAAATATTATCGAAGTTAAAATCTGGATCTTCTACCCCGAATTGACTATCAACTCCGATAACTTCGAGCGATCTTGATGAAAAAAATATGAAATTAGAATGGCTTTAACACAAAATGATTTTCAACCCAAAATGATTTTAGCTATTAATTTGCTCTCAAATTATTTGACTTTTCAATAACCATTGATATTCAAACTACCAGTTATCTTATTCGATACCTTGTTATGGGTTGCTTCTTCCATAACTTGAGCTTGTAGAGGAAAATATAAGAGGGGCCTATGAATAATATGGTTAGAAATTCATAGAGTCCGACTATAACGACCGAATTAATTATCTTTATGCATAAAGAATTTAGATTTCTTGACATAAAAGATTTTAAAATCATCATTAACCTTCTTTTTTTCTTTTCTATTTATGGATCATTATAGGATATTTTTGAACTTTCCATATATATATATACATAGAAATAGAAAAGATATTAGAACCGACATCTCTTATGTCTGCAGGGATAGAGAACCCTTTGACTGTGCTATCGAATGCTTTGGAGTGGTTGGAATAGGAGAGCATATTAGACGATATTTGATGATGTGGTTTGCATACGTAAGATTCGTGTTCTCATTTGTATCATCTTTTATGGGTTAAACTCTTTTCTATGATTTGATCTTAATTATCACATTTGTGACGATATGTGTTAATTAGAGGAATTATTTATTCAAACTCACATAAAAACGCGTAATTATCACTGGAATGAAGAAGAAAAAATCCCATAGCAAGATCATATAGACTAAAAGACCTTTCGTTTTATTTTAATCCACAACTAGAATTTTACCCATGCTGGAAGTGAAGGCCTTAACTTGAAGACACACTTACATATCTACTGGCTGTCAAATTTATTGTACTATTACTACTAGTAGTATTGTGATGCATCACATTATTATTGAACTTTGACAGCCGCTTTGAGCAGCCTCTCATTTAGCCATACTTACCGAGTCAGGCTCGATGTATGCTGTCATATTCGGTGAATTGCCGTCAGCTTCAATTTTAACTTCAGCTATGTATCCAAGGTTTTCAGTATCATAATCAGCACTCCCTTCTGTATCAAGCTTGTCTTTCACATCATTCCACTTAACAGATTGGTCCGTGATCTCAGTATAAACCTGCATGCAGATGCATGGTTTAGTTTACTGCATGCAAACTTATTTTCGTGCATGAATAATGATGTATATACCTTGTTCTTCTTATCTTTAAGATTTTTCCAGGCAACGACCCACTTCTTGCTTTCATTCTGTATTTTGTATACAACAGCACCGTATGAACCGCCATCGGACCCAAGGTGCGTGAACGTACCCTTGTCGCCTCTCGCGATTGTTTTTGCCTTATCGGGAAGATCAGACTGATCTCCCTTCCAAATCTTCTTGCCTTCCAGGGTTAAAGTGTATGTGATTTTATTGCAGATCTCGGCCTGTGTTTGGATTTGGCTGCTAGATTGAGATTTTGGAGAGCTAGATTGAGGTGCCATTAGTTGACAGGAAGCCATGGTTATGGTAGCTTTGTGTGTTTTTAGATTTTGGTTGTGTTGTGCTTTGAATGCTGCAATGCGCACCCCTCCTTATATACTAGTTTAAACCATGCAGTCTTCATAAGTGAATGGAATAATACTATTGTACATCAATGTCAACCTTTTTTTTGGAATAATACTAGTGTACATCAATGTCGACCTTTTATTCTTATGAAATTTGAATACGATGTGAGCATAAATTTATCTAATTAAGGATAACAAAAAAAAAAAAAAAGTAGTCACTGAATTTTAGGACGTTTATATTTTAATTAATAAATTTTTAAATTTATAGTACGATTGTTAAAATTTTATTATAATACCGTTAAAAAATGTTGACACGATAAGTTAGAATCATATTTTTTCAACAAAAGAAAATACCCTTATAAATTTCCCAAACTGATGGCAGTTACCAACCTCTATTTATCTGTGCCATCAGAGTCCAATGTTCTTCGATCGTCGTCATACTAAACATAACATCTTTTATACTCAAAAGTTTCACTATCATTTCATTTAAATCTGAAATACAATTGAAACCTCCTCACCATCCATGAATTCTTCTATACCTTAGCCTCGAAACAAATAAAAATCTTTAAGGGTGGAACAACTATAACATCTTCTTGTTCGTCTAAGAGGGAAGAGAAGTTGTGATTCCAATTAGAAGCAATATATTTGTGATGGTCGTCTTAAAACATATATCGTTGTGGTTGAAATTTGCAGCAGAAATGAGTGAGACATGGATTCGGTCTCTATTATTGATAGAATTGATATATGCTTTGTCACAATCTCATAGTTTTGGCTGCCAAATATTTGGAATATTCTATTCTCCCCTTGCTTCTTCAATAGCCTCAACCGATTACACATTTAATGGAATTCTTGGTATGGGGTCTCATGATATTATTGTATTGGATTATTTAAAGTTGAGTTAAATCAAATATTTAAAAGATTCGATGTTATTTATATAAATTTTAATAAGAGAAAAAGTCATTGTTCGTAAACAAATATGATTGATTTCACAGTTTACCCCACTCAATAGAATATAAGGTGATGTGTCTTTTGGGCATGAATTCGGGTTCTATTACCGATTGAATTGAATATACTTTGTCACGATCCTAAAAATTTTGGCCTTATTTGTGGTAATACTTGTGTACACCGTAACATATTTTTCTTATCAATTATTAGTTAATTTATGAGATGAAATTTAAATTTCACATGTAAAAATAACAAATTTAAAGCATTCAATATGCTTAGTAACAAATTTAAATTCTAAATCAACCCAATACAACATTCCATGTTAATCTAGGTGCAACATTTATCAATCCAACCATAGTTTTCAGCATGGTACTCTAATCTTTCAACAATTACCTATCAATCATTCACTTTTCAAACCATGCAAAATAGTCCTTAAAACCAACAAAGTTCCAATTCGATCCAAAACACAATTTCCGACCATTCACATATCAAACTAACAAATTTTTAACATCTCTCCATAATATCCCCATCATAGCCAAAACTTCAATTAAGTCCCTCCTAATCATTTCCAATCAATTTCACACTTGTATACATCCATAACACTCCTAAAGTAGATTACAACCTTATCTCAATCAAATTCAACTTTCTTCACCCACCATAAATACCCACTTCACCATTAAGCATGAAACAATGAAATACATTACCAATCTGTAGAGAATTAATTGTAGAATATTTTCTTATTTCACACCTTAGTCCAAATTCTCAATTTTTACCACCATGCCTCCTTTTATCCCATTTAAATATCATTAAATAAATATAAAAATCTCATTTATCAATTTCCATTCACCCTTCCAATTTAAAAAAAAAATCAATTAAGTCACTAAATTTCAATTCCATTTTAAATGGAAATTCCTCTAATTCCACTAATTCACATCAAATTATACCAATTAAAAATATCAATATAATTTTTCTAACCTCAAACTTCCTTCCTTCAAATTTTGTAAGCTTCTGATTCGATCTAATTATCCGAATATTTTACCAGACTCTATCACTTAATAAAATTTATACAGACTTCAAATCAAAATTCTAAAACCAACTAAAATTAAATTCTTGGGCTAAAATACTCAACTACAGACCCAAAATATAACTTTTAAAAATTTACATTGTAGTCCATAAACTTTTACAAATTTACACTGTGATCCCTATACTTTTGAAATTTACTTTTCAATGACCAGTCCAAAACTTGGGATATTACACTTAAGTTTGACAAATCATAAAAATGATTAAATTAATGAAATTTTTAAATATGGATGATTGAATTTATTTAATTATTTTGAATTAGAACTAAATTGATAGAAACGTATACATTTATGAATTAAAACTAATATTAAACCAAGTCATATTAAACGTCTTTTTTAATCTTAACGACTATATTGTAATATTTTTATTTGAATGAAAATTATAATTTTAAAAAGGTGATTCGTTTATTAAACACATAATCAAGTGATGTGATTTTTTTTTACCCTTTTGTAAAAAGAACGCCAATTGGTCCAACGTTCACCAAGTGCACCACATGAGTGTGGCTCCACATCTGTCCACGTTGCATGTTTTAGATTAAAACTGTATAAATATGATATTTAACGGATTCGTTCCTTCAAAAAAAAATCATTCATAATCATGTCTTCTATATTAAAAATTGTATAAATATACCAATGTATATTAATTTTAAAATTGTATATATTCGTTCATGATAGGGTTTGTATGCGTAAGATTAGAATTTTTTTTCTTGTGTAAACTTTCATGGTTAAACATGTTTTATATTTTGACATCGAGTCAAGTATTTATATTTTTAGAGATATGTATTAATTAATTAAAGTTACCCGTTCAAACATACTCAAGTTCACATCTTTCATTATCAGTAGTAGATACTAATTTATTGATCAAAGATCTCATGACGAGATCAATAAGTTAAAAGAGGGACTCTCGTTTCATTTTAATATGTAACAATAGCACATGCATGCATGGCAAGGAAGTGATTTGAACACACATTATTATTGAACTTGGACAGCCTCAGCCTGATGAGCAGGCGAAAATTGCCCTACTTGTGCCTCTCATTCGGCCATATTAGACACAACGTCAGGCTCGATGGTTGCTGTCATTTTTGGTGAATCGCGGTTGGCATCAATTTTGATTCAGCTTCATATTCATGTTTTCAGTGTCATAAGCTATGCTCCCTTCCGTATCAAGCATGTTTTTGATGTTATCCCAATCAACAGTCTCATCTGTGATATCAGTATATATCTGTATGCAGACGTAATTTGTTTTATATATTTCATGTATGGATTGGATAAACTACAAATTATATCATTCAACTTTGACTATTTTCTGTTTTGGTTATTAAACTTAGCATTTGACCACTTAACATTTTCTAATAAAAACAAATTAAAAGTGTAATGTAAATTTTAAAAAACGATGAGCAAAAAAAACACCCTAAAGTTTAAACTTTATTGTGCAATTAGTTGGATGTTAAAAGACACAATATATACCTTGTTGTTTGTAGTTTAATTTTTTTCCTGGCAACAAGCCACCATATGCCTTGGTCCATTACTTTGTAGGCAAGAGCATATGAAGCATCATCATCGGGTCCTGCAAGGTGCGTAAACTCAGCTGTTTTGTTATTCTTGATGTTGCAGGGTAATCCTTAAACGGAGCTCCTTTCCAAACCACTTTGTCCTCCAGGGATAAACTGTGTTTAGAATTGTTCCATAGCTTGCCCTCGTGTTTGTATTGGTCGCTTGATTGAGCTGCTGTTTGTTGACAGGAAGCCATGACTATGGTAGCTTTGTGTGTTGCACGACACACCTCTCCTTATATACTGCTACTTTAAACCACGCACAGCTCATAAAATTGAATAATACTAGTGGCCCCAAAAGAAATGGGTGATTCTTTCCAGCAGAGATTCGACCTCTATTATAGATTGATTTGATATATGCTTTGTCACAATCCTCATACTTCATCTTATATATACATGTAGAGTTTCTGGGATATTTTTAATTAGATTGAGAGAATTCTTCTTATAAGGTATTTATTTAGTATAAAATTCGATTGATATATCTGATCGATTAAAAAATGATTAATGTTTTAGTGATGAATTGATTTTTATAGATCATTCGATTGAATAAATCTAAATAATTTGAATTCAATGTTCCAACGTTATATCTTTTTTTTTTTTTGTAAAATGAGTACTTTGAATTAAACGTTCCAAAACATCACCCCAGGTACTCGTTAAAAAAATCTCCCTAAACCTAAGTAGAGGAAAGAGTGAACCTTGATGGAAATAAGGACAAATGAAACAGAGCCGAAAATTACGCCACTAGTACAACACGTAACCAGCTACAGAGTATAGCAACGAACTAAACCTAAGAGGGAAACTACACACGACACCAGAGGGAAAACTGACAAAGGAGACTAAACATAGCCCCACAGACCACACAGCCCATACAAAGCGTAGCCCCAGCTTGAACAGAAGCACTACAATCGACAACAAAAATCTGTGCAGAGTGGAGCCAACATCAAATGAGAGAGCACCCGAACCCAGCAGTCGTCATAAGGACCAACGAGAAACAGCTGAATCACTGCTACAATCAAACAGTGCAAAAAACCTTCAAAGGCAGGAGTAGTACAGAAAGCCTGATAAGGATTCAAGACCTAGCAGCAAAGAACGAGGATCCGAAACAGAAACGCAAACCGGACTGGCTGAAGCTAATAACTCCATTAACATACACCACGAATGATAGCATCTGGATTACGGATAAAGTCAGACACCACGGTAATAACATCGGCCACAAGTAATTCGCCCATATCCCAATCTGTAGTAAAGCTTTGAGGAAAATCTGATCTGCCGTAAAAAACAACAAAGTTAAATCTGGAATTATTACGACAATTCCAGATTACCCAACGTTATATCTATTGATATATACTTTCGCATCTAATTTTATTATTTGGTTTTTATGATAAATCTTAGATTATTTATGTTTTATATTATATTGCATTTATGATTTTATCAGATAACATCATT